CTGGTCTTTTATTTGTATTTTCTGAGGCAGTGGATAACTATGCTCATACCAGCCCTGTTCCATTCTTTTCTCTGGCCTCCCTCTTTGAGTCAAATCTCTCCAAGTTATTTCCCAGGCTCTTCATCTGTGGGCCCTCAAAGGAGGATCGATAACAGAGTTCAAGAAAGCCGAAAGCCAGGAGCATTCCCCATGCCAGGCTGAGGAAAGCTTGAAGCACACCAGGCACAAACCCTTCAGCTCCTTGTCAGCAGCCTTTGATCTGTGTGGCAGCTAACACGAAAGTAGAATTTGGCCCTCCAACTGTACAGGACGAGACTTGACAAGGAAATCAGTTTCTCTGACAATTTCAAAAGCCCCGACACTTTCGTCACTTGGCACTTGGCCACAGGGAATGGTGCTGTGGACACATATACACCCCCAGAGAAACCATTTTCCCAGGAAGGCCTGACAGCTCAAGTGCAGACAAGTCTACCAGGAATGAAGGACAAGCTTTTCCCTGCCCTTCCTTAAGGACAGGTGTTTCAGGAACCAGGACTTTGACTAGGTAGCTGGAGGAGCTTCCTACCTGTCTTGAAAGGCACTAGGCAGGCTGGCTGGGGGATCCAAAGAAAGATTCCTGAAGTCTAAAGAATAGGCACGCCTGCTACTGATTGGAAGATTTAAGCCAAAGATGCTATAGTTGTCCTTTGCAGGATCTCGTTCTTCTTGCACAGCTTCCTGTGATTTGCCTGGTTCAGCTTACCTAGCTTGTTCTTAAATAAACAGACCAAAATAAATTATGTTTGCCCTTTTATTACAGTTCCATCTTACCATGAAGCTTCCTGAGTGCTCTTGTGTGTTGATTTAACCTCTATAAGCTGCCTTTCACTGGCTTTGGGATCATAAAGGTACCAAAGGTGCTGGGCATTGGTGGATTCAAGACTGCTACTTAGCAACAACATGGGGTGGCATCTGAAGTACTGCTCATTAAAAAGTGTGACCATCTTTCTGGGATGCCCACAGAGATTCTTGCTAGTCTGAAAAGCTGCACTAAATGACCCCAGAACCTTACTGAGAGCCAAGTCTACAACATTCTTCTTTGGTGAGTGATTCAGAAAATCATTATGTTCAAAAGTGTTCTAGAAGTCTGACCAGACAGGCAGCACTATCACCCTGATAATGTCTAAGTCTAAAGTACGCTAGGAAGAGGAGAAAATGTGACATATTTCTCTCCCCCTGCAAAATCTCAGTGGGAAGTGGGTTGAGAGACAGTTAAGAGATGCAGGCAGCACACATATATCTACCAAGACATGAAATGAATTCTAAAGGAGGTGTGGGGCTCTGGACATTATGTCACAGTGGCCACACACTGAACAAAGAGTAAGAATGGATGTGAGAGGGGACCAAGGGTGAAACTTAGTGACAGAATGTTTGCCTAGCATGTGGGAGCCCTGGGTTCCATACCTAGCACTGCAAAAAAGAAAAAGACAAGAAAAAAGTAGAACCTGAGGACCTTCTGGCCAGTAGATCTATGGTGAGAATGCTGGAGTCCAACACAGAAGCACCCTGGATTATTCAAAGGGAGACTAACTGTGGTAGTCAGGTTTCACAGGAAGCGGACTATGAGAAGAAGATGAGGGTAAAGGAGCTCTGCTGGAAAGTGCTCTTGCCATCCACACCTCTGGGATGGGGAAGACAGCAGGAATAACCTAGGGGTAAGCCAGGCTGCACTGGAGGCTGGGCCAATCCCACTCATCTCAGCTATTGTCCCCTATCTCCTTCTCATCTCCTTGGATCAGTACAGGCAGCCTCAGGCAGGGAAGGGGCATGTCCATAGATGAAAATCTCTGTGTTCTAGAGAGGGCTGACAGCCAAGAGCTGTCATTGGCCAAGGGGAACACATTATCCAGTCCCAAATGTTGATCTGGAGAGCATGACATGACACCTACGAGCCCCGCTGCCTGGCCTGCTGCTTAGTTGGGGTGCAGGTGGGGGTCTAGTCTCCAGGGCAGCCTCAGGAAAACTAGGACAGCTTACGTTTTCGAGCATGTCCCTCACATCTTATCCATTTCTGGCACTCTTTCTATGCCATTCTCCCTGCTAGGACCCTAGAGCTGCAACATCTCAGTTTTGCATCCATACTGAGGGTTCAGAATTCGTTGTGCTGTGGCAGACAATGAGCTCTCGTAGACTGGAAGGGCCATCTGAAAGGTGGTCCTCCTAGGAGTGACATGCCTAATTGAAAAGAAAAGTCCATTAATGGTGCAACTTCAACTGGTGTTGGAAGGAGTCTCCACCCAGGTCTAAGAAAAACCAGATTAAAGAAAAACCAAAACCAGAATCCTGGCATTTGGAGGCAGGATGTAGCTCCATGATCAAGCACATGCTTTACATGTACAGAGTACTGGATTCTATCCCCAGCACCCCCCCAAAAAACAAAATAAAACAGAATCCTTCCCCTCAAAGGTATGTTGTTTGGGGGGTTTTCTTTCCCCAGAAGACATGTTCCCTGAACTCTGAGCGGGATCCAAATCTGGTGAAAGTTTCCCCTCCCGGGTAAATTTCCAAAGAGAGTAATGACAGACTTGATGGTTGGCAGACGTGGAGTTTGGGCCGCCCAAGGGTGTAGATTGGTGCTTCTGAACTCCCTTGAACACCACATACATAATCATCCTTCTTAGCAGCCGCAGCAGCAATGTTCCCTCCATTACCACTACCACCACAGCACTAGCCAAAGGAGGTCTCCCGTAATTAGAGCACCTATCTTTCCCTTTCATCAGTGCAATTAGAATTTAATGAACCCAGGCTATTTCTTTTAAGGCTTTGAAATTATAGCCAGTTTCAACATTCACGTGCTGGGAAGGTCAGAAAAAGACAACATCCATTCTGAAAGACAGAGAGATGGTGGAACTATACAGGAATGAAAGAAATGAGGTTGTTCCAGAAGGTACGGTGGCCACTGGAGAGTGATCAGATGAAAAAGTGAGCTCTCTATGTTCAGAAGCCTAAGAGAATACGCAAACTTCTCCCCTCACCAGTATAGGGATGGGAGCCACATTAATTAATTAGTAAATTAACAAGCATTTTACTTATGCATGCATCCTTGCAGAAAGTCCTGGGTTAGATCTATGGAGGACTTGACAGAGGGGAGACAGAGCTCCTGATCAAGGAGTGCACAGTCTACTTCACACTACACTCAAGTGCGCATGCTGGAAAGGACCTCCCATTGGGCAAGAAAGCTGATATTCTACAAAGGAAATCACCAAGTGCCCAAAAGCCACCTTGGTTTGCAGGATGCAAAATCCAAGGAAGGTGAGGGCCTTCCAAGAGAGAAAAATGGCAGAGTGTAGGCAAGAAAAGAACCTGACCTGTTCTGGCATACATGAAGAATAATAATAAGTAGGTAACTGGGCCAGCGCTGTGTGAGAAATTTAAGCCATTAGATGCTTATGACAACCTTACAAAGTGGTTCAATTTACTATCCTCCCTAGTGCACACTAGGGAAATTGAGGCACATGAGAATGAATGGGCACAGCCAAGGTTACACCCAGAATACACAGCAGAGCTGGGCTTCAGACCTAGGTGAGTTGACTCCTGGTCAGTGCTGTCCAATAGAAACACAATCAGGAGTGTAAATGCTAGGAATAATATTTTAAGTAGGCACATTAAGAATGAAAAGTACAAAGGAGGTGAAATGAAGTGTTAGAGTTTTATTCAACTCAGTATTTCCAAGATCTGATCATTTCAACAGTTCATCAATAAAAAGTAATTAATGTGTTATTTTATTTTTTAATACAAAGAATTCTCTTCTTTGAAATCTGGTGTACTTCATACTTATGGTACATAACTATATTTCCAGTGCTCAAGAAGCCCAAGGGCTGCTGGCTACTCCATTGGACAGCATGGCGCTATGCTGAACAGCACGGGGTAGGCGACACAGCTTTCACTGTAGGTGGCCTGACCACACATGGCCAGAGAGTGGCAGGACTGGGAAGGAAAGCTGGCAACAATGGGGGAAAAGATTTTAAGGTTACATGAAGGAACACATGCCTCCTTTTCGACCTGGTATACTAAATGCAGTGCCTTATATATGAAGGTTCAAGCCTACACACCTTTTGTGTGATCACTTACTGGCACAAGCCTGCACACCTTTTGTGTGATCACTTACTGGCAAAAAAATAAAATACTGTGGTTTGTAGCTTTAAGGGAAGAAAACATGGCGTAACAGAATAACCTTAATGCTGGAGTCTTAGGGACCAGGGGATATTGGCCCCACCTGCACCATATACCAACTGTGTAACTGGAGCAAGTTATTTAATCTTGTTAAGCCTTGGATTCTGCATTTACTGCGATAGTATGGGAATCATACTGATGTCACAGTGCGACCGTGGGGATTAGAACAGATAATGAACATAAAGCTTTCAATCCTGTGCCCAATTCATTGTAAATGCTCCAGTAATGTTGGTGCTCAGCAGCACCAGCATTATCATCGTCATCAGGAGCCCCAAGTTTTGTGGGTTTGTTTAGTCTTTCTGAGACAGGGTCTCACTATACAGTTCAGGCTGGCCTTGAGCTCACTTTGTAGCCCAAGCTGGTCTTGAACTTGCAACAATTCTCCTGCCTCAGATTCATGAGGCAGCACACCTGGCTAGGAGTCCCAAGTTGTACAATTACCAAATTCTAAATGAGTTTAGTGAGCCAGGCCATGAAACACCACCCAAGGCCCTGCCCATGGCATTTCCAGTTCTGGTTCTTTCCATGGTACCCAGTGGAGGCCAAGTCATAATGGGGGGTAAACTGGTGTAATCCCCACAGTGGAGGAGAGGGTGGTGGAGGACTGTGAGGATCCATTCAAGATGCCAGCCCTGGGGAAAAATCATCCAAAAGATGAACTGGAATGGATGCCTGAATATGGATTTTCATCTAGCCAAGAATAGCTACTCAAGTTGCTTGACCAGCTGGATGTGATGATGCATATCTGTGGTCGCAGCACTCTGAGAGGCTGAAGCAGGAGAATCACAAGTTCAAGCTTGGCCTGAGTTACTCAGTGAGACCATGTCTGAAAATGAAATGAAATGTAAGGGAAAAAGAAAAAAATATGCAAAATAGTTAAGGTAGTTATACAGCTAGCTTCTCTCAGTTCATTGAAAAGAAAGGTTTGTGCTGATATTGTTTGGACAAGATACCATGCCTATATCTTGTACTCTGAATAATTACTATGAAGACAACAATATGCAAAGTATTAATTATTGTAACTCTCCTACTAACCTGTTTTAAAACTGTTTTATTGTTATTTTTATTTTTTCTCTTTAAATTAAAAAAGAAATGAAATGAAATAAAGTAAAATAAAATAAAATGAGCTGGGAATATAGCTTAGTGGAGAGGTTCTGGGTTCAACCACCAGTACCACATGCACACACAAAAGACCCTTGACCAATACAACTGGGAGGAGACTTAGAGATCACATAGCGTAGATCAACTCTCCTCATTTTACAAATGTAGAGGCTGAAATTCAGTGAGGAGGGGTAGTTGCCAGGGTCAGATAGCTACTAGTACTTAGGGGAGAGCCAATATTAGAAGCTAGGAATCTCAATTCCTTGTCTAGTGGTCCACACTTAATGAATCTTGCTTGAAACTATCTTGTTCTTACAACAACCCTGCTATATGTCAGAATTATCAAGAAAGCTTTTAAAATCTGCAAATGTTGTATTCTTCCATAGAGGATTGTTATGGACTTGTCACTTTCCATTAACCACTTCAGGGGCTCTCTCTCTCTGTTCCCAAACTCCATTTCACTCCCTTCAAAAGTGGGTTCTCTCATATCTCTTCTCTGAGACTTTCTCAGATAACAGCAACAGAAGCAGCAATGTTAATAATAGCAATAGCGATATTATAAGGGCATCTCGGTACTGAGAACTTTACATCAATCATCTCGTTTAACCTCACAAGAGTTATACCATCTTTTAAAGCTCTATTTATTATACGTGACAGGGCTAGGAAACCCAGATTTAGTGGTAGGGATTTTACCTGAACTCAAATTGTTATAAGTGGTAGAGTTGGAATTTGAAGTTCCCATCATGTCCAACTCCACAGCCCAAACTATTGACCATGATTCTATGTAAAAACATTAATTTGAACTCACCAGGGTTTGCTTCACATATCTTTCTCTCACATATCTACCTACCCCATTTCAACTACATTGAAGGCTTGCCCTCTGTAGTGACAATTTCTTCTTCCTTCGGTCTCTGCTCTTTAT